GCGGGGCTGCGGGCGGCTGCGGGCTCCGCTGCCCGGCGCGCGGGGCGGGCGCCAGGAATCCCGGGGAGGGGATGCGGGAGAGGGGGAGGAAACGTCCCGCCGCCGGCGCGGGGCCGGGGGACACCCTCCGCACGGCCGGGTGAAGGGCGGCCTTGTACCAGGCGGCGCTGTCATGTGCAGCAAAAGGAGTCGTCGCTCACTGTCAGCCTGAATAAGTATGACTGGGATTGCAAATACCTGCGTGCTTCCAGACGAGGAAATCTTAGGGAAAAATACAATAAAATAACTCTGCTTAAGCTGCTGATTTTCGCCATAATTGGTCCCTACAAGAGCAATTACATAGCATGAAAGAAAAATGAGGGCCGGAAAACCCAGAAAACCGCCCTGCAGCCTCACTGCACGCAGAGGGAAAGGGGCACAAAGGGTGTCTCTGCCGCATGTGGGCTTCTCCTTAAGCCTGCTACTTTCATGCACTAGATTATCCCATCACCTTGGGAGAGCAGTGCATCCTCAGAAACAGGGACACACATGCAAATGAAGAACTACTCACCTGCACTGCAAAATAAAGCTAGTTCTTGAGTCCCAGTGCTTAAAGTGAATGCATTTGCAATGGTTTATATTAAAACAAAATTCATTGAACTGAACCAACTAGCAAGTTCCTTAAATTCTTCGTACCTCCTCACTATGCCCTGTTTGCAAAGGTCATGTATTCTGATAAAGTGTAAGCACTGCTGAAGTCTACATTTTGAGTGGTAAGCAAACGTCTGTGTATCACAGCCAACATTACAGAAGAAATAAAGGTGGGGAGATAGGTTATCACAAAACCAGTTTGGAAGAGGGAAGGTCATTGCTGTGGTTTAAGCACCGAAGTTGAACACAAAGCACAAGTTCAGTTCTCAGCATTACAACGGGGTTTTCGTGTACAAACCTGCAGGAATCCTGTGCAATCTGTGTTTCAAGTGCCCTACTATTACTGTAAAGGGGTTTTATGACTTTGGATAAAGTACAGAACTATGTAAAACGCTGCTTGTAACTACAATCCAGTGATAAACATCTAATTTCAGGACGAGGTAAGATCTGGAGGAGACAGAGGGATAGCAACGGAACAACATTCTTCGCTTCCTCATCGATGAAGCGAAACAGCAGAATTGTCTTCAACTCTGCATGCAAACATTATCAAATCCTCATGTTTGCACAGGTGGGAAAATAAAAGGTGATATATGATACACCTGTATAGGCCACTCTATTTACGTGCAGCAGTGCAACAATGTTAGGAATGTTATTTCTGCATTTAGAGCATCAGCCGAGACTGTGGCAGTGCCTGTGACACTGAGATGACATTGAGAAGCTCCGGCACAAACCATGCAATCAACACAGCTGCTTTTCAAAGGAAAAGCAATTGCTTATTTTATCAGTAATTTTCTTTAACTGCAAATACCCTTCCACAGGAAACGCTGCTACTCGGCCCTAGAAGCAAATACTCTTTTGCTTAAGGCAGTGGAAGCCCAAGAATTACGAGGTGTTTCGGCAACGTGCACAACAGCAACAGAATGTGGCCCAACCCTCACACACTCCTGGAGGAGTAAAGGCTTCCTCTTGCTGGCACAACATCCTCGAGAGCCACGAAGGCTTTACTCAGGGTGACACCAAGTATATTCAGGCACCCGACTCTCAAATCTCTGATTTAGGTGCATGATTTCCCTCAGCATTGTCTGAAATAGCTGAAGAGCGTTTCATGACACACAGTAGGTTGAGCTAAAACTCCTGGATCCAGCCATTTCCAAGTGGATCCAAGTGGAGCCACTTGTCCATCTCAAAGGTGCAGATCTTTGGGCTACAGAGAGCAAGAGATAAACCCCTCATTTTTTTCTTGCTGTGGAGTTTCTTGGTCTCCAACTTGGCCTCAAAGAAGGCTTCTTTCCAATGCTAATTTTGTCATAGAATCACAGAATGGTTGAGGTTGGAAGGGACCTCTAGAGATCATCTAGTCCAACCCCGCTGCTCCAGCAGAGACACTTAGACCACCTGGCACAGGGCGGCATCCAGGCGGGTTTGGAAGATGTCCAGAGAAGGAGACTCCACAACCTCTCTGGGCAGCCTGTTCCAGGGCTCTGTTACCCTCACAGGAAAGAAGTTCTTCCTGACGTGGAGATGGAACTTCCTGTGTTTCAACTTGTACCTATTACCCCTTGTCCTGTCACTGGCCACCACCGAGAAGAGTTTGGCTCCATCCTCCCGACATTCTCCAGGACACCTTAGGACCTGCTGCCTCATGAGCACCAACGTTTTCCTTACAGATACGCAGGGCCTGGTACAAAACTGAAGCCCGAGGTACAGGCAATATTCCGCAGAGAGGATCGAGTCCTTCCAGCTGATCCGGGTGGATCTCCCTGAAGTCTATTTCCAATTTCTAGGCAGAAAGTACATTTTCATTCTGCAATTTCTACCTGCTTATTGGAAGCAAATACAGCATAAATACAGGATCATGATACTAGCTGCAGTTCAGAAGGAAAATCTCAGAACTTACAAATTTAACAAAGGGGAAATTATACCTAGAATTAGACTAAAGTAAATAAGGAGGTCTTGCAATTACTGATTTTTTTTTAAATATAAATAACCCTAATCTATCTGATGGAGCTGGTTTACTTTGCCCCTCTCTGCCATGTTATTTTATCATCTAGGATTTGTTCTTGCAAAGACAAAAGGGTTTGCGAGAGTCACATTACATGTGAAATCCTGACTCCAGCAAAAATTGCAATGGAGAGCAAGCTGACACCCAACCATTAACACCAGGGCGAGACCAGGCCGAGCCCAGGAGACAACTCTGCTTGGCATTCTTGGGCCCTGAGCAGGAGGCAGTCAAACTGCTCGTTCTTAGGAAACTAACCTAGATGTTTTTGTTAGGAACCTGCGCTCCCTATATATTTAGCAAAGCTTCTAGAGGACAGTTCAGAGCATCCCAGCCACAAACCTCTCTCTCTTCATTTTGGGTATTTGATGCTCAACATCTTATCTCAGGCTCCCTGCCTTAGACAGCAGGGCTTCCTCTGTGCAGGTGGCACCTAGGGATACTTTTAGCAGCTTGTCCTGATTTCTGTGACTGCTCAAGCTGGACAAAATACCACCTAGCAAGGCACTGGAGCCCATGAAGACTTTGTTAAGTGACACAGTTGAATAAATATGTAGAAGTAATTTACATCTACAAACAAACAGAAAAGAAACATGTGTTCCCTTCCTCCAAAAAAAGCACAAAGAAAATTCCTGAAAATAAATCAACATTATTTTGATGTTGTGAAAATGTTCGGAATAGCCACACAATGTCTGGAAAAAAATATATATTTATATATGTATCTTTTCTGTGTACACTCTTCTCAAACATCTGTGACCAAGGCAGCAGCAAATTCTGCAGCCTGAGAGAACTTTTCCGTCCTTTCATCTAAGTGCAGCAATTACTGCCCTTTATTTGTCCCCAGAAGGTGAAATTTTAAAATCTCTATATTCTTGTCATACTGAGCTTCTCCTTCTCTTCATTAGGTGTGATTTAAGTAGTTAGTTAGAGTACTTCATTTTTTGTAAGAGCCAAGCAGACTTTTTTTGTAAAGTGAAAGCAATAACTCCAATCCAGAGATAATTTTCTCCTCCCACCATTGGAATTAGAGAGGTTCATAAACGACTTCTTAAGGCATCACATCTGGGTCAGATCAAGCTTAACTCATTCCTCCCATGTTTGAGTTAAAATCTCATAAGGAGGAAGGGAATGTGGAGAAAGCCCCTAACAGGAACTCTAGACATCACTCCCCATGTGCATGCAAATGCTTTCCCTGAGATTATGAGTCAATCCTTACTCTGTGGCAAGTGTTAGTCCACTGACTTAAGTAGGTCAGTTCACATGAGAAAGATTAACAGAATTCTGCTCTAAATTTGTAGGGCAATGCAAATTTCTGCTATGACACTTGCAGATAAATAGACGTGCTGTTTTAAAATGCTATTTGTTATCAATCCCATTGATAATGTACATAATTTGATCTGGCCAAAATACCCAGGGCAGGGAGGAAGAAACCCTGAATCAAAATATTAGTTACTTGTGTTTTCACAGTCCTCGTAAAGCAGGCCACACATTGGGCTAAATACTTTAAAAACACAGTAATAAGTGTGTCTTATCCCAAAGATATCACAAGCACACTATAAAACAGAAGTACAGATCAGTACAGAGCATAAGTAGAGATCAGTCAGAGACATAAAAGTAAATAAACATGGGGTCAGTAATGAGGATGGAGTCCTGTTTTCCAGCTTTCATTAAAGGAAGGTCATTAGGCACTTTGTGGAGAGCACCAATAAACGAAAACTCCATTGAAGAGGATGAAATACAAGCACATAAGAAGAACTCGGAGTGAACTCAGAGGTGAAAGGAGGAAGACTGTCAAGTAGGGCAAGAGCTATTTTTTCTCCCTGAGGATGGAGAAGACTCTGTGTACCAAAACGTCTTCTAAAGAGCGTGTGATGTTTGGGCAAAGAGTCAGCAAGAGGAAGCGGGGAGGAAGGAGGGGAAAAGAGCAGCCAGGAGACAGCTACGAGGGCTGGATGAGGGGACCACTGTGAAGACAGAGCTGTTGAAAAGGAGCACAAAGAGAGGTCATAGCCCTGTGTGGTAAAAATCCTTAAAAGTTACACAAATTCTAATAAAAGCATACTGCTATAAA